GGGGCCAGGAAGTGGTCAAGGAGGAGGTCAAAGAGGGGGGCCTGGAGGTGGTCAAGGAGGAGGGCCAGAAGGTGGTCAAGGAGGGGGGCAAGGAGGTGGTCAAGAAGAGGAGCAAGGAGGTAACTGGCAGGATCCAAAAGATGCTGGTCCGGGATTCAGGCCGACTAAAAGAAAAATAGCTGATAGAATAAAAGACGGAGCTAAAAATTTTTTTTCGAACGATACTTTTACCGGCATGGTGGGCTCAGTTGGGAGTGGCATGGACGCAACATTTAATATCGCGAGTAATTATTTGATGTTGCTAGAATGATGGCGATGATGAAAATAATATCGGTGATGATGATGATGATGATGGTGGCGGATGCGCAAAGAAAGAACCGTGAAAACATGTAACAATGAACTTGTTGGTGAACATGATGATTAAGATGGTGGTGAACATGTTGACGAACATGACGATGAAGATGGTGATGATAATGATAGTCGACAGGGCCAAGGGTAGAGAGGGAGGCAGCGCACCTGAGCGGCCAAATTTGAGAGGCGGCCAAATGATTACCCGGTGAAGATACTAAAGTTCCAAATACACAACAACACTCAACAATACAAATTTCGACGTGTTTACATGAGATATATATTTTGCACATACTAACATACACGAAAACAATTCATGGTACGAAAATATCCAACAGCAATTGAGTCGTCTCTCTATTCGTACCAAATTAGGCATCTTGTATTTAACTCAAACTACCACACAGCAATTGGGGAAGGTTTTCACAATTTTTATTTTAAACTGCAATTATTTTACTTTTATTGGTTGATACATTTGGTCGGGTACAATTTCGAAGTTTGCTATAAACTGTTGTGTTGTTTGACAAACTGATGAAAATGATAATAGGGAAAATTCATTTAATTTTAAAGTTATAACTATATATATTAAAAACAATTTTTAAATTCCATGACACATTTTGCGCTGACAACCTCGTGTGAAAATGAGTTCCACACTGGTATGCTCTTAAGTGGATAGCTACAACCAAGGCATACATTTAGTCGTTTAAACTCTCTAACCTATTTATTTTTTGCGTTTTAAATACTTGCCCGCTCAGTGACGTACAGGAAAAGCTGATAATTTTTTCTAAAAAAAAAAAACACGGCGATATGTCATTTAAAATTTAGAGCATAAAGTTAATACAACAGAGCGGCCGATTTTAATTTGTACGTACGTGGATGATGGTCCAGAACCGGCTCTGACGACAGAGAGGATGATGATGACAATGAAGAACGAAACAATGGTGGTGAATGTGATGATGAATATGATGACGAATGCTCTTATATCAATTGCAATGACATTGAATAATTAAAAAATTAACCTTCAGACAACGTGGAGAAAGCGATTATAGGCGACAAGGGACCACTGGCCAATCTTTTCTTAACCAAAACCGATGAGCCTATCAATAGATCAGCAGCAAGATTTGGCATGACCACGTTACAAATGGCAGCAGCCGGGTTAATTGTTGCCCTGATACTTGGTCTTGGTGCATTTTTCATTATTACGAAAAGAAAGAAAGCGAAAGAGTTGGAAGAGGAGAGAATCAGGAAAGAAAATTTGGCAGCAGAAGAAGAAGCCGAAAAAAATCGGCAGATTCTTCTTGAAAGGGAAAGAGCTGCTCAAATGGAAGAAGAAAAACGAAAAAGGATGGCCGAAGAAGAACAAAGACAAAGAAGAATGGCTGAAGAAAACCAAAAAGAAAGAAAGATGTCTGAAAAAGAACAAAAAGGAAGAAGGATGTCTGAGGAAGAACAAAAACGAAGAAAAATGTCTGAAGAAGAACAAAGACGGAAACAGATTGCTGAAGAAGAAGCCAAGCAAAACGCAGCTGCTGAAATTTCTGCCGCGGCATCAACAATGACTTCTACGACATCAACAGCGGCAGTCGCTCCTACTACAGCTTTTCCTGCTGCTGCTACAGGCCCTTCTTTTTCTGTTAAAGTCACTACCGCTTTGAAAAAATTGAAAAAGAACAAAAAAAATAGCGTGAAAGATGATGATGATGCCGACATCAATAGTGATGATGATGACGACAGCGATGATGATGGCGAGAAGGAAGACAAAGGCAAAGTTCAAAAAAGCGCTTCCAAAAAAGGCAAAGCTAAAAAAAAGAAAAAGAATAAAAAAAGTAAAAAACGTAAAAATAGTAAAAAAGAAGGGAAAGGGGAAATAATTTAAAAATGAAAAACTTTAAATATTCCGCACCCGACTATATATATATATATATATATATATATATATATATATATTCCAAAATTTTATTGACATCAAAGGCAATCAAGAAGTTATAATGAAAACTTGTGCTGATTACCTTAACTGAACTTAACAAGATGTTCGATAATTGTCGAATTAAGCAATAAATCAAAATGTTATGTTTAACAGAATAAAATATCATAATCAATAGAAACAAAATCTGTCTACTAATAAAAGTTTGAGCAAAAATTAATTGTTATTCAAGTTCAGATGAGATGAAAAAACGAAAATAAATAAAATTCAGTAAGTCATACAATTCTCAAAATTCAGCCTATAATACAACATTACTAAGTAAGCTTTCTTGAACATAATTTTTGAACAAATTTATTGGCATAGTTCTAGCCTCAACGCTAACAATATCATTCCATAGCTTTATTCCTCGAACCGACCAATTTCTTTCATTTGTCCTAGTTCTACTTATAACAGAGCAAAGCATACCATTCTGTCTTATTGATGATTTTGTATATTTAAAAGAGTTTCAAAACCTATAGTTTACATTGTTTATAACTATATACATAAAGACAAGGGTTATATATATATTGATTTGATGAATGTTTAATATCTTATATTTAGCAAATAGTTTTTTAAATATGATCAGACCTATTTAAAAAAAAGCAAGTGCGTAAAAAATATTTTTGAAGTTCTTGTAATTTGTTTATTAGATATTTAAAGGTTGGTCCCCAGAATACATTGCAGTAAATGAAGTAAGGGTAAAAAAATGAGTAATAAATCATTAGCATTGCGTTTGGAGTTAGCTTGTTGCGATATATAGATATATATATACACATATATTCTATAAATTCTATATATATATATATTACTGCGCTGTATATATATATTACTGCGCTATATATATATATATATATATATAGCGATATATATATATATATATATCATTGAATATTTTTGCCCACTTAGCATCAATTAACTTTTTGAAAATACACTCAACAACGTGGAATTGTTGGATTTTAACGAGAAAGCTATATGACTTATTTACTTGACTTAAAACATTGTAGTAATTCTATTTAATTTTATTAAATGAAATTATTATTTTATTAAATAAAATTGTGTATTATTAAATTATTGTTGTTAATTTGAATATAAAAATTGCTTTTGGTCCGTTGAAATCCGGTGGCTTACTGAAGCCGAAAGTTGGCTTAGTAAGATTACCCTTTTTTACACTATTTGATCATGTTAAAAATGTGTTTGCTTATGAAATAAACGGCCTAAATAGATCAAAAAAAATTGTTATTTGAACAACTATCTTCATTATATTCAATGAATATTTAACATTCTGTTGGTGCTCATAGAAACTGGTTGCTGAAATCATACGCTGGCTTACTGCAGTGGCTTACAGGGTCTCAAATAACTTATATTGGCTTAATCGGATATTTTTTCATATATACAATACTATGAGATCAATCAATCAACCAACCAATCAATCAAACAACCATTCATTCAATCAACTAATCAACCAACCAATCGACCAATCAATGAACCATATTTGAAAAATATTTGCAAGGCTTGTTCAAACTCGAACCAACACTTAACTGTACACATCTACAAACAATTTCGAGATTTTAGTAAAGAAAGAAAAACACAATAGTTGCTTTTATTAAATCAAGAAATATCCAAAAATTATATAACCAAATTAAAAAACTAGAAACCAGTCAACATTTAATGAAAAAATAAAAAAATAGACATTATTAAAGAGATTGTTCAAAAATGTAAAATTTAAGGCGACGACGAGAATAAAATGTGGTTTGTTTTGTTGGTGTGGGGCTGTGAAGCGAAAACAAACAAACACAGCACAAAAAACTAGTAAAAAGTCGCAAGAATAGTAGTCAGTCACCTACCTACAATTAAATTACTCTCAGGGCCCTAGCTTACTTATAATCGTTAACTCAACTCACCTCTCTACAAATAAGTATTTCAACGATTTTGGATTTTACTTGTTTTAGGTATTTTATTTTACATATTTCAGCGTTTTTATTTTACTTGAAACATTTTAACTAATGTTAAGCCCTAGCCTACCTACGATTGTTCAACTCATCTCAATCCCTAACTTACCTACGAATTAAATTAAAGTCAGGTAAAGAAAATAGAAAGTTGAAGAGGAACATAACAACGACGACACCGAATGAATGAATGTTGTGTATGTGTGTCTTGTATTGGTGTGTGTGTGTAAATGTGTGCGCGTGTACTCTCCAGAAACTTCTTCACTCACTACGGACGAACCTCCATTGCATCGACCATCATCTGACACGCATCGTGAATTTGACCGGGTACTGAAAAACACTAAATCTGAAAAAAAAATTAAAAGCTGTTGGAAAAAGTAATAGGCAACTTATCTTATTGAGATAACCTTTAATCCTTCGTTCAAATTCGAGTACTTTCATAGGTACGATGGGACAAAAACAAATTTCCCTTTAATATTATCTTCAAATTGTCGTCGGAATGATCATCATGAGACCACCATCTGAAACGTGCTGACGTCCACCACAGCCCACCTCTCATCATTCTGTAGACAAATTTTTTTTAATTAGCATGTTGGTAAATCAAAGAACAAAAGAACGAACAAATAAATGATTAACTGAATTAGTTAAAAGAATGAATTAATTAATTAATTAATCAATCAATGATTCAATGAATGAATAGAATGAATTAACGAATCATTTAATGGAAGAATAATTTGAAAGATTGAGTAATAAAATGAACGAATGAATTAATAAGAAAAATGAGAAAACGAAACTAATCCTCACTTCAAAAATCGTCGTTACTGTACTCCGTTGCACCGACCACACAATCATCTGGTCGGCACACAAGATGTCATCCGAACTTCTGAGTGTCAGTCGAACAGCCAACGAGCTGATTCTTCCTACACCACCATCATCATACGTAAATCATCATGAGACCACCATCTGAAACGTGCTGACGCCCACCACTGCCCACCTCTCATCATTCTGTAGACAAAATTTTTGATTAGCGTTGTAGTAAATGAACTTTCGAACGAAGGAACAAACGAATAAATGATTGGTTGAATGATAAAGTGAATGAATGAATTAATTAATCAATAAATAAATTAACGAATGAATATAATGAATTAATTAATCAATTAAATAATTTGAAAGATTGAGTGAAAATATGAATGAATGAGAAAAATAAAAAACGAAACTAAACCTTACTTCAAAAATCGTAGTTGCTGTACTCCATTGCACCGACCACAATTATCTGGTCGGCACACAAGATGTTATCCGAACTTCTGAGTGTCAGTCAAACAGCCAACGAGCTGATTCTTTCTACACCACCATCATCATACGTAAATCATCATGAGACCACCATCTGAAACGTGTTGACTCCCACCACTGCCCACCTCTCATCATTCTGTAGACAATTTTTTTTATTAACGTAGTAGTAAATGAATGTTAGAATTTTAGAAGCAAAAGATTAAAAAATGAAAATAATGGCAAATAAATAATATCTGAAAATAATAAAAAGATTAAAATATAAAAAAAACTTACCGCTGTCCATTCGACAATGGCAGAATGTTGAATGCCTTCCGGTTCCTATGTTGTCCTCCAAAACTGGTGCCAGTCCTTCCCGAGATTGTTGTTGAAACACAGCCCGTGGAATGGAGAAAGAGAAGATTCTCATCAGAAAGCTTAGCGGTGCCTGCATCTCAAATTGCTTAATAAAAATAATCCTATCTACCTATTCAATTACCTTAACTAATCTATATTAAATTGTTAATGGTACGATAGTCAAAAGTCCCCCTTCATTCTCCCTCCTTGCACAGAGGTTCACCGACAGCCAGGGCACCGGATAGTAAACCATTGCCGTGCGGATAGTAGACTACTGCCTTGCGGATAGTAAACCATTTGCCGTCCGGAAGCCGTGCGGGTAGTAGACTATGGCCATGCCGCATAGTAAATCATTACCGTGCAGATAGTAAACCATTGCCGTCCGGATAGTAAACCATTGCCGGTTCACCACTGGCCACCAAGGCTTACCTCTGACAAGAGACTTCGAAATTCAGAGTCTATCGGCTATCGTACCCTCAACTTACCTATTCATTACAATTAAGCCCTAGCTTACCTAAAATTACAAAACTCAAGAGCCCAATTCATTGGCCTTTCGGCACCCACCCCACCACCTACGTAATGCCTTGGCTCCAACTT